GGCGCGCATAAAACTAGTTTCATTACCTTCAATTATGTTCAATAATTGTTAAAATGACTAACAAATTTTATATTAAACTTTTAAAATTATTGAATAGTATAAACTTCTTGATATTTGCTAAAATGGTAAGGAATTTATGCCCTAGAACCGATTACTGTATTGGCGGACTACTGCTGGTGGACCGCCAAATGCAAGCGAAAACATGTTCAGGTCGGCCCGTAAGAAACTCGTTAATCGAGGGAATGCTCGTTAACCGAAGTTAAGAATCTTATGGAAGGCAACTCGTTAACCGAAATCTCGTTAACCGAGGCGCTTGTTAACCGAGGGACCACTGTACACCCAAAATTAGGGAAAGTGCTAAGTCTGGAATTTCAGTGAGTGTCACAAAGACATTGAGAATATGGAGAGGATGCTGAGTATGTGGATTGATGATCAAAGCTTGTGAAACATGCCTGTCAGCAAGCTCTTGATTCAAGCCAAGGCTCATTCAATTTATACTGATTTAGCCGTATTTTTTCTTTTTCGATGTCCTTATTGCGAGTAATAAACACATACTGTACAGTAATATCTCCGTTAGCTGGAATCCCTCAAACCCGGAACTCCAATAGCCGGAATTGAAATTTTATCAGAAAATTGTTCTCAACCCCAGAAAATTCCGACTTTGGGAACGATTTTACGAGGGGCACATTTTCTGGAAAATTCCAAGAAAATTTTCCCAATACACAGAAAATTCCGGGGATGGGGGAGTTTTTCAGGCGTTGAGAGTGTTGTCTCGTTACCCGGAAATCTCTCATTCCCGGAAGTACTGTATATAGTACACGTACAGTCATCCCTTGGTTATAGCGCACTTGGTTATCGTGATTTTCGTTATCACGCCTCCATCAAAATCTGCACTCCTGCTGTTATAGCACATTTTTAGGCCAAGAATTTAGTAATCACTCAGTTGCCTCCAGGTGTATTGTTACCCCCTTGCTTCACCTACATCTATTGAGGATAAAATCTTTCACCTACAAATTGACAATAACACATTTGCTGTAATCAGACATATCTAAGTTGCCTCAACAATTGCAACCCCAGTTGCAATTTCAAATTCTGTCATTACTAAGGAATGACGAAGTCTCGGGTGCACTCTAAGATTGAGAGAAAACGGAGGGCTCAGGCGTCCGGAAGCGATGAGAAAACGGACTCCTCAGACGGGGGACTCAAATAAAGAAAGCATAGCTACATGTTTTGTGGACTACAATATTGAGAGTACCCTTTTCATCACTTTGTAATAAACTTGTGTGTGTTTCTGATACCTACCATAACATTATCGACTGTATATCTTTAGTGGGTCTAAATGGTCGTAAAATGGGAAAATTGGGGTTGGGTCTTCGGTGCCTGGAACCAATTAGAATGAATCCCATAGGTTCTGTACTTTCGTTATCGCGTTTTTCGTTGTCATGCACTCGGCTCGGTTCCAATTAGACGTGATAACCAAGGGATGACTGTACAGCATAGATGTATGGATGAGTTTTGAGGCTGCTCCCCCTAACCTTAACATTTTATTTTATTTCTCATGGGAAAATTATGTTTCAGTTACGCACTTACAACATAAATCGAGAGGCAGTTGTATTCGGGTGAATATGCAACCCAGTGAAGATTATATAATACAGTATGCCTGGATAATTCGTGGGTTTTGTTTCGCGGTCCTCTATTATTCGCGGGTGACACACTGGATGTACCCAAGAATGTCTTAAGGGTAGTTTTAAAGTTGCTGGCATTTCCGTGGCCAGAACAGGGGAGTCATTCGTTCTAGAGACAGTAATTTCCTTTACCTGTACAGTTGAGTCTGGATTTACGCATTTTGTCATTTAGTGGTGCCTTGCCAGAATTGAAATGCTTGATTTACGCGGCAAATTTGGTCATTTACGCGGGAAGCAGCGCGGGCAGGGTGCTCACAAGGTCACCCAGTCATCAAAACATTACCGAGTTCTTCACCCGTCACCCACCACAGCCGACCCAAGTCAGTGATAGTGATAGTGAGGATATGGACTTATATGGACTTTGAGGGGTTTGACAAAGAGGCCCTGCAAGCCTCTGTGGTGGATAGTGATACAATTGATACAAGTGATACAGGTGAGGGCCAATAATCTGCCCTCTGCCTCGGAACCAACCCCCCATCCCTGTGTGCCCAGCCATCTTTTCTACTAATGTAAGTGTTAAAAAACCTAATATTATTGATATTTCTCTTAATTATTAATTGTGTGTGCATACCATCATAAAATTAAGATGTTATTTTGACTACAAGGTACTTATTGTGTCGGAAAAAGTGGAGTTTTGGGGTCGGCCCCAATCTCTATTTCAATTAATCCCATATGTTCTGTTATTTCATTTACGCGTTTCTCTATTTACGCGGTACTCCGCGAGTTCAATTGACCGCGTAAATGAAGACCCAACTGTATTGTATATGTCTGTAGACACACACACAAAACACATACAAATAAATAATAATGGGAAAATTTTCTCACAAATAATCAGAATTTTTTTTAAAAAGGTTGAGTCTACCCTCAACTACATTGCGTGCTTTGTTATAAATAGAGCACGGAGTAGACTTGAGGGTAGACTCAACATTTTTAATAAATTTTTTCTGATTACAGTGACCCATCCGTTAACGAACTCAATCCGTTCCAGAAGGTCGTTCGTTAACCGAAAAGTTCGTTAACCGAAACCATTGTTTCAATGGGTTTTTGGGTAATTGGTTCCAGCTCACCGAAAATTTCCTAAATTCAACAAAAATGGTAGAAAAGTTCACTTACTTTGAGGTGTGTATGTAGAAGGCTCCTGGATGATGATGATGATGATGATGATGGGATTTAGAATGGGGGTGGAGAAGGAAGAAGAGAAGGCATTGGGGTGGAAGAGAAGTCACCCCATGGTGCCATTTCACCCATAAAATTTTAGCTCTGGTGTAATTCAAGATTATTTTCTTTAAATCAACACTGCACTACATTATATATTGTCAATATGTAAAATATATTTCAAAATGACCAATAATTTGCTTGGAAACACAGAAAAAAAGCGTTTAGTTGAAGAGAGTCTCAAGCAAGATGTTACCTCCAGTGAAAACAGAGAGAGACTAACTCCTGTTTGCTGTGTTAAGAGGCTGGATGCCGCGCATTAAACTAGTCACTTTACCTTCAATTATGTTCAATAATTGTTAAAATGACTAAAAAATTGAATATTAAATGTTTAAAATTATTGAATATTATAAACTTCTTGATATTTACTAAAATAGTAAGGAATTTAAGCCCTAGAACCGATTAATGTATTGGCGGACTGATACTAAAGCTGGTTGCCCGGTCAGTGCAAGCGAAAACATGTTGAGGTCGGTTCGTAAGAACTTCCTTAACCGAATTGAAGATCCTTATGGAAGGCAGTTCGTTAATCGAAATTACGTAAACCGAGGTGTTCGTTAAACGAGGGGTCACTGTATTTGTGAGAGGATTTTCCCATTATTATTTATTTGTATGTGTTTTGTGTGTGTGTCTACACACACACATATACAATAGTACAGGTAAAAGAAATAATTGTCCTAAGAGCAAACACATAAAGATAATATACATTTCTTTGTACACAATTCAAAATGACTGCCCCACCTTCCCCGATCAGCAAATGATATTCGCGGTGATTTTAAGAACCTAATCCCCTCGAATTTGAAGGGCATGCTGTACAGTAGAGTACGGTCATAGAAATTAAAGACTGGGTAAGAGAAAAATTATTATTGTACTGTACTGTACCGGTACTGTACTGTACTGTACTGTATAGATGTACAGATAGGACTTCAAAGTTTATATTGCAGCTTAAGGTAGATTATTTAGGTATCCTTGTTGGTGGGTACAGTACTGTACTGTACAGTAATTTAAAATTTACATTCTAGGTATTAAGTTTCTCCGTAACCTCTACGTTTTAGTTTCATGCATTGATGATAAGGCAAATGCAGAACTTATATATGGCAGCGTTCTATTTCAAGTGTTTTGGCTCCTCCTCATTGGTTTGACCGAACCCCCCAGTGTTTTGACCAACCCCAAAGTTTTGACCAACTCCTCAGTGTTTTGACCAACCTCAAGTGTTTGACCAACCCCAATGTTTTGACCAACTCCTCAGTGTTTGACCATCCCCAATGTTTGACCCTTGTTTGACCAACCTCAGTGTTTTGACCAACCCCCAAGTGTTTGACCAATCCCCAGTGTTTTGACCAACTCAGGTTTTGACCAACCCCAGTGTTTGACCAATCCCCAGTGTTTTGACTAACCCCAGTGTTTTGACCAATCCCCAGTGTTTTGACTAACCTCAGTGTTTTGACCAACCCCCAATGTTTGACAATCCCCAGTGTTTTGACCAACTCCTCAGTGTTTTGACCAAACCCCAATGTTTTGACCAATCCCCAGTGTTTTGACCAACTCCTCAGTGTTTTGACCAACCCCCAATGTTTGACCAATCCCCAGTGTTTTGACCAACTCCTCAGTGTTTTGACCAAACCCCAATGTTTTGACCAATCCCCAGTGTTTTGACCAACTCCTCAGTGTTTTGACCAACCCCCAATGTTTGACCAATCCCCAGTGTTTTGACCAATCCCCAGTGTTTTGACCAACTCCTCAGTGTTTTGACCAAACCCCAATGTTTTGACCAATCCCCAGTGTTTTGACCAACTCCTCAGTGTTTTGACCAAACCCCAATATTTGAAGAATGCCCAGTGTTTTAGCCCAGCCCCACAGTGTTTTAGCCCAGCCCCACAGTGTTTTAGCCCAACCCCACAGTGTTTAAGCCCAACCCCACAGTGTTTAAGTCCAGCCCCACAGTGTTTTAGCCAAATCCCTAGTGTTTTGACTCCCCAGGCTCACATCACATTCTAGATATTACTATTGTGGGTAGACTGTACTGTTTTGTAGTGCACCCATTAATACCAGTGATCCATTTATACTCTGATAATAACTTGCTCACTGTGTCTTGTGTTGTAGATGCCTGACATTGAAGAGTTCCAGTTCTTGAAGCCAATCAGTCGTGGAGCCTTTGGGTAGTTATACTAACTCTGCATTTTAATACTGTATTCTTTAGACTTATTCTTTTGTCAATTCATACATTTTAATATTGTGTTCTTTAGACTTATTCTTTTGTCAATTCATACATTTTATTATTGTGTTCTTTAGACTTATTCTTTTGTCAATTCATACATTTTAATATTGTGTTCTTTAGACATATTCTTTTGTCAATTCATACATTTTAATATTGTGTTCTTTAGACTTAGGGCCGGATTGATAGTCATTACGAAGCACAATGCCAATTGATAGTGTTCGTGCTGGTCTATTAATAGTCATCCCGATAAACGAGGTATCGGAAGGGAACCGTACGCATATCCCTGAAATGTTGGAAACAACATCGGGTGGCTACCCCCACCCGATAGCTGCCTTACGACAAATAATAATCATCATTATATTTTATGAAAGTTCTTCCAGTACTTTATATTACAGATGTCTACGTCGAATTATTTTATTTTTTTTGATAAGAACAATTAAAAGAAGTGTTAATACGGATAAATGAACTTTCACAACACTGTTATGAACTTGAAACATTATTGGAATGTTGACATCACAGCTCCGACTTCGATGACGACTGCTGTCTGTGCTGTGAGCCTCATCTTCAATTAACAATTACTTCTGTTATCATTTAAGTTATGTTTCTTATCTTTATTCATTCATACAATATTTTTGTCGTAGTAGTAATAAAATTTCAACCATCTGAACCGGGAAATTCACTTATGTTTTCCGGAATGAGGCAAGCCAAGTGAGCTCACTCTATCTTGAGTTAACAAGGAAAATATCACAGTTTTTGGCCCAGTAATAAAGTTTTTTTTACTTCACTGTGGTCTTTAATAATGGAGCATAACTCAATATGTAAGGTAATTCACCTGTGAGGTTTTATGAAGACAACAAAAGGAAAGAAATATACATTTATTTTTTTTATAAATGTGTAAAAATTAAGAAAATAAACTATAATTTTTCTATACATAGTTCTGCATTTCCTGAAATTCACAGCTTATATTATAGATATATAAAAATAAATCTTAACTGCCATACTTTGGACAATATTTGTAACTGACATGAAAATATTTCTATCTTGGGCACAAAAAGAAATGGTTCACTCCTTCTCTACAGCTATTTATATCAATGCATAAAATTTAATAAAAGAAACATATCCTCTATACAGTACTTTGCACAGTATAACATATTTTATAAATACCTGTATACACCAAACAAAACTTTATTCTTTATCACAGGAAATAAATTCAATTTTTGAAAATCACAGCCTTTATGTATATTATAAATATTCATCCCCCACAAATAATTACCTGCCATACTTATGACAGCTTTTGTAAACAAAAAACCTTTGTCAAAATAAACACATGTATGTTTATTTCCTTCAAATAAAATTAGTTGAATATGTAAGAAATAGAACGAATAACTTTTACTTTAGATGCCAATTTCTGAAATATTACAACATCATTCATATGTTTTAGCCATGGCATCATATGCAGCTCCTGCTTTCCTTAAAACACTATCTAACAAATCCAAAGAATTATTCAATTTTTCATGTGTCTTTTCAATTGCAGTTTGTTGTAGTTTTTGTGTTAACATCATTTCTTTTTTCAGTTTCATTTCCTCCTCATGCTCCCTATTCAATCTGTACAACTTAGATTTATGTAACTCTTCTTGTCTTTTATTACACATTTCATAGACACTTGTCACCCTCCTAGTTCGCCTTGGTTTGCTCCTTGGCCGAGAACCAGATGCCCTGGACACTGAATAAAGGTGTTGGTTGGAAGCATGAGCAGGAGGGGGTGAGGCAATATCACTCGATAGTGAGTCAGGGGCATTGACTGCCGAGGCAGGAGCTGCCGAGGCAGGAGCAATGTTTGGTGAGGCAGGAGCAATGTTTGGTGAGGCAGGAGCAATGACTGGTGAGGCAGGAACAATGACTTGTGAGACAGGAACAGAGGGTGAAAATAGAGGTCGATAAACAGTAGATGGAACTTCAGTAAATTGTGCAGAAGACACAGATGATGGCCCTGGGGTAGGACCAGGTAAAACAAGTGGATCATAGCTGGCGTTGAATGAAGCAGTAATTTCATCCCAGGCCTTTCTTTTCCTATAATTTATGGTGTTGCTTGTAGACTTATCCTCAATGATTGGCCTTTGCTCAATATGGCGCAAAAGTGCCATACGTTGGGTTTCAGACAGAGCTGCAGAACGTTCTCTTACTACCTCCATGTTTGATAACCCGCGCGCAAACATTGTTGCCAAGTACTCAGATGAAAAAATTATCTATTTTGTTTCGAACAGATAATAAAGTTCAATTTTATAAAAAAATATATTTTACAATATATTATTGTGCCGGTATAAAATAACAACTAAATATCTCTCAAAATCGTCTTTCTAATTATGTGAAATAATACATTTGGCACACGCGCATGGCCAAAAAAATTTTGCCATCCGACACGAGCTGCCGTGTTTACACGCTCATGTAAGGGTCTAGGAATATGGCACTCGGCGTTGGGTGGTTGCATCCCGACACACGATCATCGAGATGATGATCGTGATCGTCATTATCGTCGTAATGACTAGGAATACGGCCCTTATTCTTTTGTCAATTCATACATTTTAATATTGTGTTCTTTAGACTTATTCTTTTGTCAATTCATACATTTTAATACACCTAAACCCCGACTTACGACTATACGGACTTACGTCCAATGGTACTTACGACCTGCTTTGACCGTACGTCCATACGGGACATACGACTGCGACCGCCGTGACCAAAAATTTTTTCAAATGACGCGCGCATTTTCTATACCGAAACGTTTCCGTCCCGGGCGAGAGGGAGGGATGTCTTGGGTCGCCTCGTGGCTGCACTCACTCAGTGGAGCGCTTTGTTTGTGTTTGGCTATCGTATCCTATACTGATCGCGCTGTGAACTTTCGTTATTATTGTATTTAATTGACTTTATAATGACTGGAAAGCGTAAAAGTGAGAGTGCTGGTGGTACTCCAAGGAAAAGGAGACAGGCAATTACTTTTGAGATGAAACTGAAGATAATAACACAGTATGAGAATGGAAAAACAGTAGCAACAATCTCACGCGACCTAGGTTTCTCACACTCGACTATATCCACTATTCTGAAGGACAAGGAACGTATTCGTGAAGTAGTGAAAGGAACAACACCTATAAAGGGAACTATAATAACAAAGAAAAGACAAGGTCCTATCCACGATATGGAAAAATTATTGGTGATATGGATAGAAGACCAGATACAGAAGCGTGTACCCTTAAGTGTTCTAACCATACAGGCTAAAGCAAGAAGCCTGTTCCAAAGCCTGAAGGAGCAGGCAGGAGATGAATGTGATCAAACCTTTACAGGAAGTCAAGGGTGGTTTGATAGATTTAAAAAACGCTACAGTCTACACAGTGTTAAGGTGAGTGGAGAGGCAGCTAGTGCCGATGTTGGTGCTGCCGAAGCTTTTAAGGAGGAGTTAGATGATGTGATTGTGGAAGGGAATTATTTGCCAGAGCAAATATTCAATGTGGATGAGACTGGATTATTGTGGAAACGCATGCCTGACCGGACATACATCCACAAAGAGGCAAAAAAAATGCCCGGATTCAAGGCATTCAAGGACAGAATTACACTTCTGTTGGGGGGGAATGTTGCTGGTTTCAAGCTAAAGCCCTTCATGATCTATCATTCAGAGAACCCCAGGGCTTTTAAACATGTCAGCAAGCACACACTGCCAGTGTTTTATCGCAGTAACAAGAAAGCCTGGATGACCCTAGTACTATTTGAGGATTGGTTCATGACTTGTTTCATTCCACGAGCCAAGGAGTATTGTCTGCAACAAAGGATTCCATTCAAGATTTTACTGATTTTGGATAATGCTCCGGGACACCCACCACACCTGGACGACATGCACCCTGATGTTAAGGTAGTCTACATGCCACCTAACACTACCTCTATCATCCAACCCATGGATCAAGGTGCTATTTCTGCCTTTAAAGCATATTATTTACGCACGACCTTCGCTCAGGCTGTTGCTGCTACTGAAGGTGAGAAAACGCTCAGACAGTTTTGGAAGGAGTACAACATTTTGTCATGTATAAAGAACATTAGTGCAGCATGGGATCAGGTTACAAAACATTGCATGAATGGAATATGGAAGAAAATCCTGAAAAGATATGTGAACAGTTTCAAAGGATTTAATGAAAGTGAAGTTATTTTGGATATTAGTAACAAGATAGTGGACTTAGGTAAACAGCTGGAGTTAGAAATTGATACTGAAGATGTTGGACAGTTGGTTGAAAGTGTAGCAGAAGAGCTCAGTAACGAGGATCTTATTGAACTAGATGCACAGAAAGTTGCAGAGGAAGAAGAGAGACAAAATGTAGAAGAAGAGCCTGCACCCCCCAAAAAGTTTTCAGTGAAACATATGGCAGAGGCATTTGCTACAATTAATAAAGGAATGCAAATGTTTGATGGCATGGATCAAAATTATGAGCGTTATGCCAAAGTTGACAGAATGATCCAAGATTCACTTGCTTGCTACAGAGAAATTTATAATGAAAAGAAAAAGAAAACTGTGCAGTCTAAATTGGACACCTATTTCAAGAAGTCCCCCAGTACTGGCTCCTCACGCCCCACCAGTGCTGCCTCTTCACTCCCTCAAGATGATCCAATACCTTCAACCAGCAAGTTACCACAGTACATAAACCTGTCTGAAGGAAGCGACATTGATGACCCACCCAGCCCTGTCTCCTCTTCTGCTTCTTCCAATTAATATAGTCTCCATGTATCCTGTAAATAGAAAATTATGGGGGCCCTGTGTGCATTCAGCTGACTACATTTAAGGTAAGTGCTCAGTCACACTGTATCCATTCCTCATTATTTATTACTTTTACTGTACTGTATCCATTCCTCATTATTTTTTTACGTTTAGGGTACTGTATTTCATTGTAGATTTTTAAAAAA